TTTACCATGGGTAGTACTGTATCACTGCCTAAAAAGTTTCAGATTCTCAAGTTAGGGATGCTCAATCTGTAGTCAGATCACTAGATCTAGCTTTCAAGCAACAGAAAAGATTTAAAGAAGTAGACCCAGAGAGGCAACATTCACGCCTGACAAGCAGACAGCACAGAGCCAGCACCCGCCTGGTAACTAAGACACACAACCTCTGCTGCCCAAGAGTCGAGGTGATGCATCAGTGCTGCATCAGGGGTCCTGAACAGACAGCACAGGTCACCTCAGCTAGAGCAATTTGGAGCAAAAAGGTCATTTGCCAGGAGGAGTGGAGACACTTCCCAGGAAAAGTAGGTTGTCATTTTTCTAAAGCACCGTATTTAAACGGACTGTCCCAAGAGTGAGCAAAAAAATATACATATAAAATGGGCCAATTCACAGGAAAGCTGAGAGTAAAAGATGTCATATTTCAAACCAGGAACACAGCAAACTAGAATTAAAAGATTAATCTGCAGGTAAGCAGAAGCAGTCAGTCAGTAAAGAATCACCCATTAACTGAACTATGACAGCGTGCCAGAGGCATGTAAAGACACAGCAAGGCCGGTCTACTCACTGCCCTGGGTCCCACTGCTTTCCAGTCCAAGTGTGTTTACATGAGTTCTTCTTTCCCTTGAGGTGGTTTGAATCTCTGCTGTCCTTAGTTGTGAGTCCAACTAAGTCGATTATTAGGATTATTGCCAAGTAGTTCCCTCTTTGTAGGGTATATTCTGATTACTCAGCATCACTTTCTAAAATGGATGAAAGCCTCCTTTTCCTGTGACAGAGTCCAGGTTTATATGAAGCTAACATGCAACCAGTCCCCACCCTCCTCAAAATACATATTCACCCCCTCTTTCTGTCAGCTGGCTCTGAGGCACCCCACCTTCTCACACTAGCCCATGTGCTCTTTCAAGCTTTCACTTTCCTACACACACTTTCACACCCTCCCCTACACTCACCCACACAAACAGGAGGAATGACTATGAAACCCATGCACGAGAATCTGCATTACTTTCTTGTCACTGAGACACAATACCCAACACCCACAGCTTAAAGAAGGAAAGTTTATTAAGGAAGGAAAGGTTTAGAGGTTTCATAGTGTGACGCATGGCAGCAGGAGGCAGAGATCATGGGAGAGGGAGGGAGAAAGGCTGGACCGTTCCAGGTCATACCCAGTGACCAGCCTCCTGCAGCTGGGCTTCACCTCAAAAACCGCACTTAGCTACAAACTCACCGGGGGACTAATCCACTGATGAGTACTGCACCCCCAAGATCTAATCATCTCCCCAAAGCCCTACCTATGAGTATATGAGGCTTTGGGGGACATCTAGATATAACTACAACATCAAGCAATCAAAGTCATCACTCCACTGGCTTTGATGGTTTCTTCAACACTGTGTACCAGGTTCCAGGTAAGCCGTGAAAAGTCTTCCCCATGGCTTTTAAATAATAGTAGTAGAGGTCAAACTGCCAGCACTACAGAACACAGAAAGAAGTTGTAGTGGATTGACAACTGGTAGTCAACTTATAATCCCCAGCTGAACGGAGTAAGTGTGGCGCTGGGTGTGGGAGGCCCACCTGGGGATTGCTGCCAGCAGCGTAAGAGGCAGAACTGGAGAAGTAAGGCTGCCGGGAGCTGAAAGAGGCTGTTGGGAGCTGGTGGAAGCTGTAAGGAGCTGTTGGTTCTGTTAGAGGAGCTCGTCATGCTGGCTTTCCTGATGAACTTGGCTGATTTCACCTTCCAAGGAGCTCAAGACCTCAGTGGCACGGAGAATGGCTTTGGTTCACTTTACAGGAGCTCTGGTCCTCACCTTGAGCATCACTTCCTGGCTCCAGAGGGGAAGATGATGCACTGCCAGTCTCCTGGAGAAGCTTGCTATGTTGGCTTTCCTGATGGGAACTCAGCTGTCTTCACCACTGGAGGAACTCGGGACCTCACTGTTGCTGAGGATGGCTGTGGCACTTTTCAGGGGAGCTCTAGTTCTTACTTTGCGCATCACTTCCTGGCTCCAGGGCAGATCCCTCAGCCTGCTAGCACAGATCCTTCATCCTGCTGGCACAGACTTTCTAGATTCCAGCACTGACTTTTGGGCTTTCCCAGTGCAGATCCATGAAACAGGCCTGCATGAGACGTTGCCATGGGCTCTGGGCCTCCAGCTGGATTTGTGGGAGGCACTGTTATGGGCTCTAGGTCTTCAGCTGGACTCATGCAGGACATTATCATGGGATCCAGGCCCTCAGCTGAATTCCTGATCTACAGTGTGTGGACAGATTTCCTGATTCTTTTGTATAGCATTCTTTGGGTGACTGTTATAAATAATCTTATAAAATATGCACTGTATTATATTGTTTTTACCTTGCAAAATAAGCCCCAGAGCAACACAGAAGCACAGTCCTAAAGACACACTGCTTGCAGCCACACCACCTTTAGTACTCAGGCTAAACCATTGTCTTTACTAAGCTTTACAGCTCAAATTCTGAAGGAGTCCTAATACATTCTTTTGGAAATCTAAATCAGAAATTTAGGGAAAACCAAGTGTTACGGCTTTTAGCTACATTTAAAGCTTCATACAGTCATAGGTGGGGCTTTTCTGAGATGGCTGGATCTAGAGTTTGTGCTGCTGGGATCAAGAACGGATGCTGGGATTGATTAATGGTTTGATGCTAGGATTCAGGGTATGAGGGCCACTGCCCCTAGGGTAAGATTTAAGAGACAAAATGAGCTATGGTCTCCTCTCTTGCCCTTTGCTTGCTTTGCTACCTTCTGTCTGAAATGAACTGTTTCTCTTCTGTGATATCCCTCTACCATTCCACCCTGCCTTAGAGCCCGCCAATTATAGACTGAAACCTCTACACACCGTATGCTGAAATAAACCTTTCCTCCTTTAATCTGAGCGTCACATATTTTGTCTAGATAACAAAAAAAGTAACTAAGATACCAAGGAACTCCTCATGCCTCTACCTATCTCTAGCAGCACAGTAGTATGAACAACCAGAGACTTCTGGTAAGTTTCCTTCCTAATCTTATAAACATAAAATAAAGTGAATAGTTAATCGAGAATCCTTAAAACTAACCTGTATCTTAACTATAATTGCCTCTTTTATCCTTCCCAGAGATCCCTTAGAAATGGCAAAAAAAAAAAGGGAGCAGACCAGTCACTGTTCCAATTTAAAAGCTCACAACACATCTTCCCAGTAAAATGGAATTTACTGATATGAGCCAAACACACACACATTCAATAGCACTCCTAGCAATTAAATTTATGTCTGTTTTATTTACTGTTTGTCTCTTTCCACTAGGTACTATGAAAGCAGAAACTGTACTTGTGTTTATGGTACCTGGCATATGGCAGGTGTGTTATAATGATTTTTAAAAGAATGCATGTAAGGCACCTATGCATGCACGTATTCTATAATCATTAGCATTTTTGCCTTAGTACTCATTATCAATAAAGCACTCTACTAGGTACCAAGTAGGTACAACGATTAGACATGAACTCAGTCCTCAGGCCTCTGGTTGACCAAAGACATTTTCTAATTTCTGATGAAAATATGGGTATTGTACCTAGAAAAAAAAGGAAACAAATAAGGAAGATTTTGCATTATATTTCAAGGGATACCTAAGATATTCCAGACCTAGGGACATAAAGACAGTACGCATTTCACAGTATTCCACTGCATAATTCAGACTGGCCTCAAACTCAAAATCCTCCTCCCTTAAGCTACTGGGTGCTGGGATTATTTGTGATCTTTCATCCTTCTTAGGTTTTTACACCCTAAGGGCAAACTTTTGAAAGGTGATAAAGGTACAGGTAAACGAAATCAAAATGTCCTCCAACACTTTCACAAAAGTTATAAATTGGAAGCCTTTGCATTAAAAGACCGTTAAAGAGATATCAACATGTGTGGCATGAATGCACAAACCACTGCACATAAATACAGAAGTTTTCAATGCATGAAGCATAAATAGATAGGAAATTTGTTATAATGAATACAGAAAAGGAGAAATAATATTGATAGAATCAAAAACTAGTCATAAAAAAGGCATCTAATTGCCTCTGGGCTTTCAACTATTTTTTTAATCTAGCATCTTTTTAAAATTATCTTACTGACTTAAGTGTTATATAATAATAATTGTGACTAGTGATCACTGACCTTTAAAAAGTATTAGTAATAACTTAAGCAGGTATAAGGCAATTTAGCCTATATTCAGAAATTCTGCAAAGGCTTTCTCCTTGGGCCACAGGTTCTAGTCGAATCATCATTGTTTTCCTAGCACTTTACAGTTTAAGAAGAAATAACATCTCACAAGAGTTAACTTTGTGATCTGAGCCTATCAAGTGCCAATACACGCCATTACACACTAAATGCATCTTTCCAACTGCAATAAAAAATGCCTCTAAAATTTCAACTGAATAGAAACCCTAAATATTTAATCTACTGAATTCCACTTCCTACTTCTCTAAAATCAATCAATTTAGGAAGACTGCTAATCTTTCTAATCGAGTAGAAAGATTTCAGTTGCTATTGAGGATAACTTGTGGACTTGGGGACAAAGATATAAAGACAAAAGCTATAAGTCTACATAAGAAGCATCTTTTCTCCCTTTCTCTTTTCTTGTTCAGTACTACAGACTGAACTGAGGGGCTTGCACAGTCTACACAAGTGCTCTACTACTAAAACTTTAAAACTCAGCCTGGAAATATTTTATAAGAAAAATAAAAACCAGAAAATACTAAACAGGAGTTATGTCCCAATAAGAACAATAATCCAATGCCAGGGTTAGAAGCAACCTTAGAAATTATTCAAGTCACTGCTCTCTTTTATATAAGCAAGTCAAACCATGGAAAAAGTATGCTCAATAAATCAAGAATAAATTTCAAATCTGATATAAACCAAATATAATCAATACCAGTACAGTAACAGTGCATTTTAAAAAATGAAGAACAATTATAATAAATATAAGTACTTACATTAAGAAGTAACTCATCTTTTGTTTTTAGAGGAAAATTCTTGTTTTCCTTCTCAACTTGTAAATCATCTTCTCCATCTGAGAGCACAGGAGGCAATGAAGCACAAGAGGAAGATGACGATGAGGAGGAGGAGGAGGAGGTAGAGGAGGAGCTTGAACTGTCTGAATCTGTCTCACTATAGGGAAGAAAAAAGTTAAAAACTGGTCAAGTACTACAACTGTATAATTATTCAATTAAGAAATATGTGGTTTACCTTGACTACTATTGCTCAGCTAATATTAATCCTCTTTAATAAAAAAGGAAAGCATTTCAAAGCTTACTATAACATTAGGGAAGTAAGCTTTTGTTCACCAATACGCAGTCAAAATTCTTGCTCTTACTTCCCAGTTTAACATGTCTGAGTATAACCAAGTGGCCAGCAATGACTGAAGGAAACTCTAGATGACACTTAATTGCCAATAGTTTCTTCCCCGTTTTCAGGCAACCTGGAAATGCCTGCATTACCAACTATGTTGACTGCTGTCTTTGGCCTTTGACTTCACATAGAAATTGTAATTTGCTCCCCCACTTCAATCCATGGTTTTTTGTTTGTTTTTGGCTTGCTTTTGGCAGTACTGGGGATTGAATCCAGGGCCTTGTGCTTGCTAGGCAAGTGCTCTGCCATTAAGTTGATGATGGAGTCATCCTCAGTCCTTTTTTTTAAAAACATGTGACAGGGTCTCAGTAAGTTGCCCTAGTCGCCCTTAAATTTGTGATCCTCCTATTTTAGCCTCTGGAGCTGGAATAAGAGGCCCCCACACTTCAGCCTTCCTCCTTAACACAGCTAATCGCCACCCCTAATCTTTGGCTGCATAATTAATCTGTATGAATGACATACACAAACCTCACACTTCCAGCAAGCTAAAGACCGAACAGAAAAAAGGTGTCTTCTCCCTTCTGAACTGCTTCACTCCTCCTTGAGCTTCTACTTTATTTCACTGCTTAGTTCTTAATTTAGTCCCTGTGAGCTAAACCCTGGAATCACATTAAGACAACTGCATATCCTGGTCAATAATAAATCTCTTCAAATTGGTAATCAGTGCTATTCTTCATCGCCTTTCCACTGCTATTTCAGGCTCTCATTTGTTATCTGCTTTGTATGACAAAGAACTATAACTAATACTGTAATAACTTCTCCCCAGGATAATCACTCCATCATCCCACTGTTGTTACTTTAACCTTCTCATGACCTTCCATCCTAATCAGTTTATGCTCCTGCTTTAAAAGAACTTTATGTGCCTGGATACTTCAGAGAGAATTATTAATTTCATATATGCTACGATTAATAGTATTGTGTTCATGTAAGAGAATGTCCTCTGTGAGAATGAATGCTTAAGTATTTAAAGGTAAGGCGCCATGATGTCTGTTAAAATGCTAAAATGCTTAATACTAAAATGCTTCAGTATTAAATTATGCTCTAAATTCTGTCCTTTACAGGCTCAACTTAAATAGTAGCTTCTTCGAAAACGATCCCTTCCCTTGCTCCCAGAGTACTCTTTTCAAACTGTTACTACAGTCTCCTAATGCACCATAATTTCTCGAAAACCATGCTGAATTACCAAAAACCTGAAATCAGAGACCCTGTACATGTATCTAAACATTACCTAGTTAAAATAGCAAAAAGTAGCATTCCTTTTTACTTTCTCAAATACTTGGTACCTTCTTCCATCATCCAGAGTCCTACCCCTAAACTGTTCTCACTGTTAAATGACACCAGATCCCAATCTCTGCCTTCAAAACCATCCACGGGCCAGGGATATAGCTCAGAGGCACAGCGCCTGCCTGCCAAGTGCAAGGTCCTGAGTTTGTTTCCCGGTACAAAAAAAACCCCAAAAAACCATCCACAGATCCACAGATCATCTACCACTTACTTCACTTTCCCACTAACATGTACACAGAAATCCAACAAGATGATCTTAGAACTGCCAGGAAATCAAACTTTGTTTATAGTTTGCTGACTTCCCCTGCCCAGTCTATTCTCATTCTCTTCCTCTACTCAGACCCTTTATCCTTCTCCACTCCCACTAATGGTTGAGGAAATCCCCGAAAACTCCTTGGTCCTTGCCACCGTGTGTCCATCCTGTTCACCTGGTCAGTAACCCTCCCCTACCACACTCGAGTATTTGTAGACAATGTTCAGGGTGGTTTCATAACATCCTTATCCCATCACAAGAAGGCACAGGGAGTGGGGTCTTCTTATAAAAAATAACCCCTTTCCTGATCCTTAACTTATTCGGTTCGGTAAAAACAAGACTACAGGCTAGACTTGACGGAAAAAATTCAGGCGACACAGAACTCCAAAGTTATAACCACAGTACTCATAGAAATAACCTCACAACTTCCTTTTCTGTTTTAACTGAAAACTATATTGACTATCCACAGGAAAGAAGTGAGAATCGAGGGTCTCAAGCTCAGATTCACCACGCGCTTCCCAGGGACAGGCGGTGCGGAAGGGCCGGCCGGGCAGCGCGGCGCACGTGCGCCCGAGCATCAGCGGCCTCTCCGC